CCCGTACACCCGTACACCCGTACACCCGTACACCCGTACACCCGTACACCCGTACACCCGTACACCCGTACACCCGTACACCCGTACACCCATACACCCGTACACCCGTACAGGTTTGTAACCCGGCTCAGCAGGCCCGAGTGGCCGCCGCCCTGCTCCCCATCATCCCCGAGCTCACCACTCGCTGCAACCAGAGCCACCATCCCGGCATGGCGGCGCTGCTGGCTAGGCTGCAGGTGGCTGATACCGACCCGCCGGGGGGGGGGGGCCGCGAGGGGTTTGGGAGCTGTCATAGGTGGAGCGCAAAGGGGTATGCGGACTCCGGGTTTTCGTTCTATCCTGGAGTTTGGGGTCTGGGGTAAAGATTGGGGCATGATTCTGTACGGCTGTGTGCCATGTCGTACATGGCTACTTGTGATAGTCCAAGGACGGCGCAAACGGGGGACTCCTAGGGGGACATTCTCCCCCCACACACACAGGGGGGGGAGAGGCGGGATACCTTGCGTGCATGTATGTATGTATGTATGTTGTTATAGGGTGGTATAGCTTCACCAGCGGCCCCCTTTCCCGGGGCAGTCCCTGCTCTCCCCTGCTAGAGGGGCACCCTAATCCGTCACCCCATCCGACTTCAGAATGTATTCGTTGGGTTCAGCAACTCACCACCAGCATCCAACCAAATCTAGCGGATCAACGGCGCATCAACTTAGTTCCTGGTCAGCTCGCAAGTATGTATGGGAAATATGACAGGATGCACCTCCCCCCCCCCCCGCCCCGCGATTTCATAAAACTAATTAATAACGTGATCAGTAGGTAGATAGGATGCAGAAGGCGATTGCAGGACTAGCAACTTCAAACGGAGAAAGGATGATATACCGCTAAGGGGGTTGCCGTACTATGCTGAAATGTGACCAACACTCATACACTACAGAATGGTAACAGCCGTATTAGGACGGGGGGGTGTCCGGCGCTTTGCTGGCCTTAACGTACTCGCACTTAAAAACAATACAGAGATTGTCCCTATATTGTTATTGTATACTGTTCCTCCTTTCCGGCCACCTGCGCTGCCGTGCCAGGAGATCACCGCGAACCCCTCAGTGCTGATGTTGCAAGCGGAGCCGCCGCCGTCGGCGTCACCGCCGCCGCCACCACCGCCGCCACCGCCGCCGCCGCCGCCACCCTTGTCGCCGCTCCGAGATCCCGGCACCGGGTTTGCTTTATCGCCAGCGACGGCACCGCCGGCAGTGGCGGCGCCGGCGGCGGCAGCTGCGGCGGATTCCTCTGTCGTACCCTTCCTCGTTGCCGCCTCCAAGGGGGCAGGCACGCAGCCCGCTACAAACGTTGGTAACTGGCAAGCTGCAGCTGCGGGCGCCGTCGGTGCCGTTGGCGGCAGCGGCGACGGCGGCGGCGGAGGTGACGTTGGAAGCCCCAGGAGCATGCTACGTGCGGCGCACGGCGGGGGCAGCGCCAGCTTCGCCAGTAGCAGCAACGTCAGCGTCAATGGAGCCCTCGGGAGCGCCGGCAGTAGCGCTGGCGGATGTGGATCTCAGGCCGCGGCGGTGTCAGCGACGGCGGCGGCGGCCGCTGCTGCTGCCGTCGGCGGCGCGGTGGCGGCCGTTGGCACCGGGGCGCCTACAGGCTCTGGGGCGGCAAGGATGACGCTGACGCCGACCCCCGAGGTGGTGACGTCAGACGTTGCCGCCGGCGACGCAGAAGCCGCGGCTGCCGCCGCGGCTGTAGCAGTGGCGGCGGCGGCGCGCGCTTTGAGCCTGGAAGAATGGGCTTTGGCGGCGGCAGCAGGCGTCGATGCTCCCCATCCTGTTTCGTTTGGCGGTGGTGGCGGCGGCGGCGGCAATGGGTTGCAGCCATTCATTATCGATGGTACGGCATACCTGCCGCCGGCTCCAACGCAATTGCTTAGCACCGGTCCAGAGCCAGTCCATGCAGCAGCATGGGAGAGAGGAGGGGACGGCGGCGATCGTACCACGGCCTCTGCAGCAGCGGCGGCGGCGGCGGCGACTGCGAATCGCGACCATGGATTGGCGGCAGGACGCCTGCTTCTGCGCACCTTGAGCCGCGTTGCGAGCAGCGACGCCGCCAGTGGCTGTAGCGGTGGCGGCGGCGGTGGCGGCGGCGGTGGCGGCGCAGTCACCGCCGTGTCAGAGGAGACGGACGACGACGCCGTACTGTCCGACGAGAGTGTCCTGGCCGTCCTCCGAGCACTGGGGCTGGCGCCTGTGGGTAGTGGCAGGCGACTGCAGCTGTAGCCGCGCCAGACAAAAAACATGTCGTACAATGCGGAACCGTCGTACAATGGCAATCTTGCACATGTGAGGCAATGAAGCTTATGTAGGGAATGAACCATATGCGAAGCATGTACGTCGTCGCTCTCGTCGTACAACGATCTGGGAGTAAAAGGAGTAAGGCGTTTTAGAGAGGGTTGCATGAATCGATTATTGGTTTGAAAATCTTTTGTGTGTCTATCTGGGAAGGGAAGGGAAGGGAAAAATGTGTTCATTAATCGGAATCCTTTCCTCCCCTCGGCCTTTGTGGGCGATTTGTTTGATTCGTCGAATGCTGGTCGACCCTCTGCAGTGTTAGCTGTATCAAATCCTCTCTACCTTCCGATTTTAGGGAGGTAGAATTAGATGTAGCCCAACATCTTTTCGTACAGGTGCCGTACCTGGCTACCAGGCGAGGCGCAAATCCGATTTGATCGGGTTCGGGTCTTCTCACCGCGGGGGCTTGTCGTTCCCGTTTTGGTTTCTGTTTAGCAGCTGGATGGTTTGTCGGCTAGGTGTGAGGTTGGATTGCAACTGCAGACAGATAGGTAAGCAGGCAGGTAGGCAGGCAGGCAGGCAGGCAGAATTACAGACAGACAGACAGACACACAGGCAGGCAGGCAAGGGCAAGAGAGAAAAAACCCCTGTAGTTGATATTATTTTGAGGAACTTTTACTACAAGTTTTACGTACTCCGGACAGGTGCGGGGCCCTGCTAAGGGGGCGTCGAGGCTAACGTTTTTTCTTCAAGTTGTTGCTCCCCCACACCATGTCGCAGCTGTGAATGAAGTTCAGTGAATGTGTGACTCTTTTTTGAGCTGTGTTCGTTGTGAATTATTGCAGGTCGTACAAGTCGTACAAGAAGTTGTACATTGGTCTTCATTTATAGAGGGATCATCTTTCTTTTGTGTCCACGTGGCTAACGGAGCGGCCCCCGGTGGTGGAGGTTTCTTCCCTAGCGCGCAGACACACACACATACACATATACACACGCACATACACATACATATATACACATGCACATACACACGCACACATATACACACACACGCACACGTGCCCCATCCGGGTATATCGCAGTCGCTTGCTCTATATTCAGTTTTAGGTGTTACGAGTTGATGTGCGTGCATGCATATAAGTAGTCTGTATGCTGCATGCACGGTGATTGCACGGCAGTGTCGTACGTGCCGTTTCGGCCGACTTGTGCTCCAGTTAAGTTTCCTCAGCTATTTCTCCATCATCCCCCCCCATCACCGCCGCCGCCGTTGATGTGCCGCGCCCGGCTGGTGTTGAAATCCGTGACCCACCATCACCTCCGTTTCCGGAGGTGTGCCGTACTTGTACGTAATTTGCATGCCGTACAGTTCTTTTGTATCTGCTCATGAGGAGTCGCGTGCATGCAGAGCTTGGCAGTACATTACCTTCTGATATTTCGTCGAATGTGAAAATGCAAAGTGTAGATTGTATCAAAACAAAGAGTTAGCCGAGGAGTGGACCGCCCGGGGCTGATCCACTCGCTGTCGTTGACTGTGCTCTCTTCCTCGCCGCTCCAACGTTTTCGCTGTTGTACGCCGTGGGTCGTACACCGCTCGTGCTTCTCAACCCTGAGTGGCACGGGATCTGTTCCGGCCTACTGGCTCCGCCTACAAGTGCGTCCTAGTGAAGCCTTTATAACATAATTATAATAACTGTGTGTGTGCCGTACATCCAGGTGGCGATATGTGTGGCGGTAGGAGTTGTGAATCTTATCCGTATTGTTCGTTCGTACAGTAGGGGTGGCTTGATTATGCTGTCTATACGACAGAACTAATTGTATCGCACGTCGTATTTGAGGCACAGGTGTGAACTGCTCTACCTGGCTGGCTGGAGGGGGCTGCATGGGGCATGTAGATGGGCATATATATACCGCCCGAACTCACAGCTCTGAAGACTGGCTCTCTGGAAGACGGGCATCATGTAAATGACGGGGATATAAAATTCTGCAAAGTACAACTCCTTTCCACTCTCGACCTCTCCCGGTCTTTTTCGGAGATCTCACTGCACCTCAAGAGCTCCGTCAAAAGCTTACTTCCCGGATTCATGAAATGAATTCCCGGGTCAGAAGCAGAGCAGAGCTCCGGTCAACGCCGAATCACATGCCTGGGGGATATGTGATGAACCGCAAAAGTGTGATGATGATGGTGTCAAAATGGTCCTCTTAATGCGAAGCTGGCTGGGCAGGTGAGGCACCACCATCTGAACGCTGTGATACAGGCAGGAACACTGGGCACGATGCACATGTGCTCTACATGCACCTACACATATGACACGTGTCATGGCTTGTTAAGGAATATAAAAAGAATCACAGACCCGTCCGAAGCAGCTAAGGGAATACTTTCCAACGTTCCCACCATATCTTGCCGTTGCGAATATGTCTTAACGCGCGCACACAAACACACACACACACATACAGACATATATGCTTAGATATATTATATCCGCACACGCTGTTTCATACCTCTGCACCCCATCCATCTCATACCCCTCCCTGCCTCTCCCTGTCCACTGCAGCGCCCTTCACAGGGATCAGCGCCCTTCAAAGGCCCCACCCGCGTCATCCCCAACCGCGAGCACTCCTGACGTGTGTCCTGTTCCTCAGTTCCTGTTCCAGCCGGCCGCTCTCCGTGCCAACCTCCGCCTGCCGTTCATTACCTCTGTCGCCGTCGTTGTCGCAGCGATTGGCGGATCTCTACCAGAGCTAAAGCAGAAAGAGACATTCCAACCTACATCGCTACACACACACACACACACGGGCAGCCGCTTCGGTTTCTTCCCTCAGCAAGAACCAATTACACACATCACTACCTACCCGCGTAGACACACACACACACACGCTCATACATGTCACAAGTAGTTGCTTTGCTTTCCTAATGGGGCATACAAAGCTAAAGGCACAATGAGGGACAGAATGCAATGCAGTGTCACAGTTTAGTTTGTGCAGTAGTACAGCGTAGTACGACTACAAGTCGCACACGCACACGCATGGACGGTGGCCCCGTTCACGGTTAGGGGTTCCGGCGGCCAACCCCCACGCCCACCGTTTTCGTCCCCCTGCAACCGTGCTTCCATACATTGACCCACGCCTCCTAACTTCACCATCCCGACCCTGGTCCTAATTCTACTCCCATTCCGTTTCAAACCTGGAAGGTCTCTAGAAAGCGAAGGACCTCCTATGAAGGGATCCTCTATCAAATGACCATTCCGTCTGGAGGAAGGAGCTCCAATTTCAATCCCCACCCACGGCAGCCTTAACACAATCCGATACAGCGTCAAACATAACACACACACACACACACAGGCACACATAACATGCCGCGAGTGTTCACCAGGCAGTTCAACCTCCACCCCACCGCCCCGCCTAACCTAAGCCAGCTCCTTTCCAAAAAAACAATGTCAAGGTGTAACACACACAAACACACACACGCGCGCGCGCACGCACGCACGCACGCATATACGTCTTAAACTTCTAGCAATTCTGAAACAGCGCCAGCCGACGCTCACATGTTCCTGCAGGTCCCCCTAGGTGTTGCGTTTCCAGTGTTCCTGTTTCTCTATCCTGTTCTGCGGACGTTCTGATGACACATACGTAAACTGCACCAAGGTCGCAGCGCTTTCCCCCCAAATGCGCTGGTGAACTCCCCTTAGCCGCGCAGGAATAGTGTGTTGCTGATTTGGCGCATGTGTGGATTGAACATGCCGCCCCAAGACACGACCCAAGGAGGAGGACACGCGTCCTGCCCGGTCCCAATCCGTGACTCAATGGGCTGCTATACCTCCACCCCTGATCACTGTACTACCAGTGCTGCCCCCCCTTCCCCACATACACACACAATTCAACCCCGGGGTGTTGTTAGCTCCACCATGCACCGTGTCATCTACGTGCCGCTCCTGCTCCCTTAGCCGCTGAATAATGACATCTGCGCTGCGGTGGTTCTTAATTTGGCGTTTACCTCCCCCCCTCCCCTCCCCTCCCTCCCTCTTCCCCCCCCAGCTGATGCACCGCAGCCCCCGACCGGCACCGCAGCAACCCCGACCGGTACCCCTGACACCGCTGCCACCTGCCCCCACCCCCCCGCTGGCCCCTGCCCCCACCCCACCCCCGACTGCTATCGGTTCGCCGCCACTTGCGCCGCGGCTTCCATGGTCGCCTCCGCCAGCACCTTATCCGGGTTCCTGAGCTCCACGGGCGGCAGTGCGCCCGGAGTACCCGGGGGGGGCGTGTGGATCTCGCTGTAGGTGCCGCACTTGATGCAGCCGTCAGCCCACACGCCGTCAAACCTGTTGGAACATCCGCGCATCCGAGAAGACGGTTGGAAACGGTTGGAAACGGTCAGTAGATGGGGCGCGGGAAGTGAGAACGGAGAGCACCAACATGCCATCGAGTCGAAAATCGATTCATGGGTGCGTTGCAAAGCACGTTTGCAAAAGCACCCAGCTGTAGGTGTCATGGTCCCCAGATACCATTTCGGCACTCCCGCACTTGCTTTCGGCCGGGTTTTGCCATATGCTGGGGGTTCGGCGGTGTTCCTCTCCCCTTTTTCCCTCCAGGAAACGTTGCTCACCTCTTTCCTTTACTCATGTAAAAGTACGTCCCAGTGCCGTTCTTTTTGTCATTGGCCCACAAGCCCTCGTACACGTCTCCGTTGGCGTACATCAGGGTGCCGGGCCCGCTCCTGGCCAGAGGGGAGAAGAGTTGCAGAAGCGGCGGGCAAGGGCACATGCGAGTCAGGGAGGTTGCAAGGAGAGGGGAGAGGGGAGGACCAGGGACGGACAGGGAGCGAGTTGGAAAGGAGCAAAAGGGGGGGGAATGACGGCCATCATAGGCGGAAAGGGGCCTGGAAGGGGGTACCGTAACGACTGTGCTTTTGCAAACAATATGGTAATTTTACTTGGTAAGCCAGGAAGCTCTGGAAAATAGCACAAGTGGAAATTTCTGCCTGCTTGCCCTACCCTGCCTGCCTGCACGCGCTTGCGTGGACAGCTGGCGGATGGATGTGGCGGTATGGTATTTCCCCTTAACCCCGCCGTTTAACCCCACCTTATGCCCCTTACGTTGCCGCTGCCAACAGCCCGCGCTATGGACCGGCATTGTCCGAGGGGATAACTCAGCTGACTGAATCTCTTCCGCATCCCCCTTAAGGCAGACCGACGTGAGCACGAACGCTAAGGGACAACGGAAAACGCGCGTAACCGAGCTCAATCATGTGGCTAGGGACCGACCCACGGGTCTTAAAGCTCGCCATTTACTTCCGGCACAACCGAACGGCACATACGGTACATACTGCCACATGGGCCCATCATGCTGCTCAGAGCGTCTGCTACATTAACCCAGATGCCGCTCACTTGACGTCATCTTCAAAGTAGCCCTCGTACACATCTCCTCCGAAACCGTCCACTGGTCGCCCGCCGTACACTGCCCGCCCTTTCCCGTGACGCTTGCCGTTGTGCCATTCGCCCTCGTAAGTATCGCCATTGTCCGCAAAGTAGGTGCCATGACCCTGATGGCGTTAAGGAATGATGAGTCGATATTAGGATGGGCGGATGGATGATGGCTAAGGCGGAGCAGGGGTAAAAGCACGAAGTTCTTAAGGACAGCGCATGAAATTGGGTTGAAGTTGCCTTAATCGCGTGCAATTTCCTTTCCATGGCCCCGTCTTCTCCCCAGCCCGGCCCCAGCCCCACCCCAGGATAATCCCCATTGGCCGCCCCCACTGCCCTGGATACGAAGAGATCCATTGCGCCGTTTCTGGTTGCTGGCATTTATTGCCGAGAAACAGATCCATGCATGCATGTACGGCACTGAAACTTAACCCGACGCTCAGGCGCAGACATGCTCTTGGCCGAAGCCTCGGACTAAAGGGCCATGCTGAAGCGCCAACCGGACCCATTCACCGACAACCTCACGTTGGGTTGATCATGTCGCCACTCGCCGTTGTAGCGCACGATGTATTTGCCATCCCGGAACAGCCACAGCGTCCCCAGCCCGTGGCGCATGTCATCCGCCCAGTCGCCTTCGTACTTATCGCTGTTTTTGTATATCACCGTGCCCTTCCCTGCATGGCGGGAGGACGGGCATTGGGGCGACATGTCGTTTTGGGCGACATCTCAACAGAAGGCTAGGCCGAAGGGACTGGTCCCAGGTAAGGACTCACCATGCTTCTTATTGTCCTTCCAAGCGCCTTGGTACCGTTCTCCAGTAGTCCAGTATACTGTGTGATGAGGACCTTCTTTTTGCGCCTAAATTAACACGAGCAAGGAGCAACCATGGAGATGAGCTCGGATTGAGAGGTCACGTTTCCGTTCCAATCACACCTTTTGGTCAGCTGTCCTCCACAGCGGATCCTTGCTGCGCAATGACTGTGCTGTAAGTGTGCCAGGAATGTTGGGTGGCATTCTCGAAGAATGTCAATATTACACTTGATATTGGTTTGAAAAGGAATGATCTCCTTTATACGGGTTAAGTTTTGAGGAAGCCGTTACAAAGCCTTCACAGACTCTTAACGTCTAAGTCACCGTATGTTGTACGGCGTTATGACTGTCCATTCCAGTCTGCATTTTATGCACAGGATTAGCGCGCTGTAAACTCATACTTTAAAACAAAAAAGACAAGCTCCTGCTTGCTCCATTGATGATAGCGTGCATGCTATGTTGCATGTCGCTCAGGGTTCCTGTTGCGCTGCTCGACCCTTGACTCGCTATGGAATGTTTCTAAACTCAGCTCTCCATGCCACCTGTCCGCTCTACGGGCTGTTGGCTTCTGCACGCCACGCTCCGAAACACGTGTTTTATTCCTGTTGATGTTATTGCAAACTCACCTATCCATCGACTTCCCTACGGCGTCGCATTGCAAACTATCCTAACAAATTCGCTGCTCCTTGGAGTATAAGGGACGTTAAGAAAGTTCGCTGCTAACAGGCTGTTTAAGACTTTTACGTTGGTTCTAGCCTCGCACTCACCCAAGGCCATGACCTGTAATAACAGCTTGGGCGTAGGCCCCCCGGCTGATTTGCGCGGGGATGATTTGGTGGCGCATTACGCTATCCCCACGCTGCCCGTCGGAAGCATCCTCGTCGGCGTTTTTTTGGTAAAACCAGGGGGATCCCCACCGGGATCTAAGTGGTGCCGTTACCGTAATTTGATGGGGACACTGCTCTGTTAAGGATCGTGCCCTAGGTGGCTCGTTCACGCGGAGACCGCCCTCCCCCAGCGGTTGCATCAAATCCTTATGCGCTTTAGGTCGGGCTGTTCACCGTGAGCGCGCCACACGTACGCGCCACACGTGCTGGCTTTGTGGAAGACGAATTGCATGCCCTGCTTATGTTGGCTTGAGGGCGAAGTATGGGAGTGAACTCGGGTTTTCAGGGCGCACAGTTATAACCGAGCTGGCATCAGCTAGCTTCCTCTCCGAGGTCTGGGAGACTAGGCACGCAGCGCTCCGGCGCTTCGCGCTCAAACGGAAGCGGAGGACTATGATAATCGCCCCGCCGGCTTTGACGGGGCCCTCCGCGTTTGCGCGGACACTGTAACTGTGTAAGGTACCCGCGTGTGATTACTGGCAGACTCACTTACTGCCTGCCCACAGCGCAAATCACATGTAAGCCCACATCCTATTTCGTGGAACTTATTACAAACGTATCCATACTCTATATTCCCCGGAATTACATACAAGCCAAGCAGTGTCCCTTAGGCCCGCCCACGACATGGATTCCTCATTAGCAATACAGCGAAGACGCGCGCCCGGGGCGACTTTGGCAGATCAGCAAATCTTACAACTGTCGAAAGGACAATCCCAGTACGGTTCGCCAACCACCAAAAACTATTGATTAGCATCTTTCGCCGACGCCTCTCTCCATCGCCCCAAATTTAAACACAATGCGGAAACACATACACGGACACGGACGAAGTCAAAGACAACCTGTGAACAGCAAGCACTCATCACCGGACAGACAGACATGCCGATTAACGGACAGCTTCAGCTATGCACACCAGGGAAACCGGACGCTAAACAACACGCCGGTATTCATTCGTCCAGGAGCCACTCGGTCCTAGTGCCAGCCTCGTTGCATGGCCATTGAAAGATGCCGCGATAGACAAAGATGCCCGAGTAGCTACCCCATCCCGTCCTGCCTCCCCCATTCCAGACAAGCCAAGCTGCCTATGCCAAAAAAATCCCTCAGGACAAAAGTTCCCAGGCTCCGCTGCGCTGCGGTCGCCCATAAGTTACACTTCTCATCTCACATACACCATCAGTAGCGGCGGTTGATCTGTCCGCAGTTGGCAGCTCTGCACCGCAGCCCTTCACAGCGTTCGATACTCACTCGCCCGCCCGGAATTGAAGTCAAAACAACCTTGAGCTCTTAGTAGCGCCTCTCGCCCCGGCCGCCATAGTCGCCACCACCTCGACCGCGATCTCCGCCACGGTCCCGGTCACCTCCACGGCCGTAGCCGCCGCCACGGTCCCGGTCACCGCCCCGATCACGATCGCCGCCGCGGTCCCGACTGCGGCTGCGGCTACGCTCGCGGCGGTCGCGGCGATCGTCTCCACGACCTCCACGATCGTCCCCATGCCCTCCGGCACGTTCCTGTATATGCAGCGACGCAATTACAGCACAGCCGCGATAATTACATTGAATACGCAGCGCACTATAGTCGCCCCAGAGACATCAGTCGTATCAGCTGCCATGATGCAAGATGACAATCAGACTGACACGCCAAGTGATACAAATTCACAATATCATTGGATGAGAAGCGCGGACTGACCTGCTTGTGAATCTTGTACTTTTCTGGTCTGGAACGCAAGCCCCGAAACGGACAACCAGGGCCCCTGTTTTACCCCTAGGAATTCCCGATCCTTCCCGACCCGCCACCCGCCACATGCTCACTGCTGCGCTGGGCGCGGGGTTGTATTCGCCACGCAGCCGGGCTAGCGCTGCCTCTTCGCGTGCCTTACGGTCCGCCTCGCTCGTGCCACGGAACTGCTTCTTCAGGCGGCCAAACTCGTCATACCTGCCATTCAACAAAAACACCAAGAATTACGGAAACCGCAAACCAGTCGAGATGCATGACTCATGCTGATCAGTCATTTAAGACTTTCAGGCTTAGGATCACCGCATGGAACCCAAATCCAAGTTTACCATGGCGGCATGTCATCCTTGCCATAATAACATTGGCAGCCAATCATGGCCACCAGCTGAAAACCTAGTTGCATTTCGAGAGCCTACAAAAAGCCGGAACACAAGATTGGACAAAACGCCAGCTCAGCCGTCGGACTCACACATCCTGCTCCTCGTACTCCTTCCGCCGCCGCCTGGCCTCCTCGAGCTCCTGCTCGTCCAGTTCCTTAAAGCCACCACCCTGACCCTCGCGTCGCATGTCCACAGTGCCTGCAGACGTCCATGTACGCGTGGAAAACTGAGACAGGTGCAAGTGGTCGATGACCTAGTTACCGTCCTGCATCGCGAATGCTGCCATTGACATTCAAGACATGCCCCACGAAGCACATGCAGGAAGGCTCGTGCGGCAAGTAAGATACGAAGTCTCTTGCGAAGGTTGGTTCTTGGGAAAGGATGGCTCCTGGGAAAGGTTCAGTTACCCCAGCCCATGACCTCTACAGATGCTCACCGGGCTTGGACGTGCCGCACATATTGCACTTGTTGCGACGGGCCCAGTTGACGTTGCCGCAGCTTGGGCAAGGCCAATCATCTGGAGCAAATAGCCCAGGAGGGCCCTGGGGTGCGGCAACGACACGGGGCTTGTCGCTGGGCGGCGCAGCTGCGCCACCAGCAGCGGGGGCCGGCGGAGTTCCAGCGGCAGCCCCATAACCGGCACTACCACCGGCACCACCACCGCCACCGTAACCGCCACCACCACCGCCACCGTAACCGCCGCCGTAGCCACCATCTCCTAAAGATACATGACATGAAAAATAGGACGTGAGAAGGGAAGCCCGAGACCCCCCCTTTACTGCGGAAATTGCATCTCGCCCCTATAAAATGCCATCACAGGAACGTTCCACGTGTCTTTGCCTGACATGGATAGACATCGAGACAGACGTGTTATCAGGGACCGCGCAAAAAACACGACCGCTGTTACTAGGGCAGAGCTTCCCCCCAGTCCCGCACCTGCACCTGCACCGCCACCACCACCACCGCCTCCACCACCGGCTGGGCCGCTCGCAGACGACCGAGGCGTTCCGCACTTGTGGCATTTCTGGCGGAACGCAAAATTGTTGTTGCCACATTTGCTGCAACCCCAGTCGCCTGGACGCCCACCTCCTGGGGCACCACCACCACCACCACCGAAGCCGCCCCCACCGTAGCCTCCGCCCCCACCGCCCATATCTACAAGCAATAAATCCATGTGCAATATGTTTGCGCCAGTAAAAGTGCGCCGAGGATGGAGACGTACATCTTGTACAGCGCTCTGCCAGCCATGGCTTCATGCAGTCCTAAGGCAGAAAACAATAAGAACTTGAGGGCATCCAGCCACGCAAGGGCAGGTTTGAGCCACATTCTCAAAGCGTAACTGTAATTAATGTTACCTAGCTTTACGCACCAGGTGGTGGGGCATTGTTGTAACCATCGTTGTAGCCACCGCCACCGCCTGCAAAACGTTTGTCCCGGAGCCAGCGCTTGGCCAACAAGTTAGGAGCTAAGCTGTCGATCTTAGGCATGGAGGAGTACCCAATAACGAAACCACATGCCACATGAAAGCCATCGTTTGGTAAGCTTACCGTAGCCACCACCACCACCACCACCACCTCCGCCTCCATATCCTCCACCATATCCACCACCGGCTTGCTTCTTTTGGGACAAGGTGACCTGGAGCATCGAACCTGCAGCAATGAGCAAGCTGGTGAGCTTCATTCCAGCGTTAAAGCTGCACACAACATGTGTAGACGCGCCTGTCGATACTGCCCTTAGCAGGAAGCAGCATAAGCCGCCCGGTCAGCACAAGCCTAAGCCTAATATGTATTTCTTTTACATACATCCGCTACTACACTAAATTGTCCCAGTCGCACCTTTCCAATCCTTGTTGCCAAACCATTGCACAGCTGATGCTGCCGAGAACGGGTCATCATACGTGACAGTCCCGTCACCCTTGAGCTCTCCCGTAGCCTTATCTCGGTATAGCCAAATTTTTGGCTTCTTGGTCTTCTTGTCGATCTTTATGATTCCGATAGAGCCGAAGTACTCGGCCAGATCTGCAGAGAGGCCCCGGCGCGGCCCTCATCACCCGTGCGCTGCGGCCCAGAGACCGTTGGGAAGACCCGCAACAGCCCATGACCGGGCTACCCGGCCAGCGAGCTTTGGGCCCGCCGCCACACCTTGCTCCGTCGTGTTGGGCGGAAGGCCGCTGACATAAACGGTGTCCGTGTCGGGCATGTCAAACGACATGGTATCTGGATTATACGCCATCCTTCTTGGCCGGCTCGGCCGAACTTAGCGGCCTGTACCGCTGCGGATGCTGATAGTGAATATCTCTAACAGGCTTTGACCCAAACAGTATTTTTCGCGATTAATCCCTATTGCCTTTACGATGTATAAAAGTTTGATACACTCTCTTCGACACTGGCAGAGGTTGTGTAGGCTCAACGTACGAATCTGGCAAGTTTTTGCCGCCAAAGCCGTGGTTGCTGTCGTCAGCAGCGGGTTGCAAAGAACTCGTGTTCCTCGTTACCTCTACAAACCAATTATTGCAGCAAATCTTCTTCGGGGAAACTTTTGACTGCACGCGTCAGGCTAGTTAGGACCCAAAAGTTGCTTTGGCACATCCAACCAACTGGTGTGTAGTGGAATAAGTGATTTCATGCCGCGGGGTGTAAAATCGGAGCCCTCTGCTTCTGGAGAGCAACCCGGCAAAGGCGATTCCAAAGGAACAAAAGGAAACAAGACAAAGTCAACGGCGTTAACTGTGAACAAAGTCCCATTGAAGAAAAAAGATGGGCAGAAGGAGGGCCCTAAAGCAACTGCAAATGGAGCGGACGGCAGCCTTGATGTTGCGGAGCTCGAGAAAAAGCGCAAGGAGTTTTCGGAGCAATTGCGCAAGTGTGAAGTGCAGGTGCGTTGCATAAGCCGACGTCCAAAGTAGGGGGATTCGTGTGGGCATTGCGGGGAACCGAAGGTTTGTGTGCGAAGTGTTAAGAAGGGTTTTGCGCGTGCGCGAACTCTCCTGGCCACTGCTGGCGCGCATCAAAAAGATACTTAATTTCCCAGCAAGAGTATTTGTAGCGCTGATCATACCAACCCTGGCAACTGCACTAAGGGCACCGGATGGGGACTAGGGTAACTAGACACCCGCTTTCAGCTGTTGCCGAATACACTGCGACGTGCAGACCTTGCCCTGCGCGTTCACAGCTTCGCAGCTTTTGCAGCCAAGCGGCTTCCGCTCATGAACTTTAAACCCGTCATCACCTCTTCCTTGCGCCCTCCCGTTCACCCATTGGGGCCTTAACCTGCTCATACCCGTCTCTGCAGATCCATAGGCTAGAGACCCAGTACTTCGAGACCGCGAACCCCCAAGGCAACGCCCTCAAAGGTAGGACCCCCAACAGCTTCCCAATGCTCAGCCGCAGCTAAAACAGGCGTCTGCCGAGTTTGTGTCCGACCGCAGATCGTTGGCCTCTTGCATGCCGCTAACTACGCTGCTTTCCGGTGTCAGCGACGGATATACCTTGTGAGAAACAAACTTGTTATGAGAAAACCCCTGCCCTCACCCCTGCCAGCCGGCAACCCTCCGCTTCTCGCGCGCCTTCCTTGTCGACTCCCGCCCAACACCAACCCCGTCCTGGAGCCGCTTGCTGCTAGGGACCCCGACCGTCAGCTTTATGATCTTCATCCCTCGCTCTCTCTCACACTCCGGTCGTCCTCCATGTCTCTGGACCAACACCCCCCTCCCAGCTGTCCCACTTTCCAAGTTTTAGCGCTTTCCTTCGTCCCCCCCCCACCCTCCCTTCCATCTCCCCAACCCCCTTCTTGCCGCCGCAAACACCTGTGCAGTAGGCTACGACGGACTGCTGTCCTCCACGGCGGTGAGCGCCAAGAAGGCGCAGTTCCGACACGAGGATCGAATCTTCTCGGGATCATCCACCACGGGGAGCACCGCCGCCGGCAGCGGGTAGAGTCCAAGGCAGGCAGGGCGGTGGCCCAGGGACTCCCCCGCCGGCCGGCACACCGCGCCCTGCGCGCTCGTCCATTGCGCCACCGGCACCTTGCCGGCATGGTGACTCGAAGCTGGGGCCGCAGCCTGCGCCGGTATCCATCGGCCAATCCGGTCACACGGAGGACGTGAGCAGCAGGCGCGGAGAGTGCCGTGGCGTATATGTAAAACAATCACAAGGGACTCTGCCGGTGGAATGGGGATAAAGGAACGGACAAGTTGCAATCGCAGTAGCAGCGGCATTACGAGCTTCTGGAGGGCGCCCTGCGCCGCGTGATATCTCTCTTCCGTGGCCAAGTTACGATGCCCAGGTCTGTGGATTTTCTGTTCTGTGGATGAGGGGAACAAGCAGCAGCAGCAGCCCAGCACTGCAATGCGGCCGCAGGCTCATCAGCTGTGGATGGTGGGGCCCTGGAAAGTCATGCTGCCACGCCACACAGGCGTCCTGATTTGAAAACTCAGGATGAGTGGTGATTTAGCTGGCATGCGGGACGAACTAGAGGCGTCGGGCCCTACCGCCGTAAGTGCCGTGCGTGATGCGGCTGGCGCGAAAATACTTTCCTAGGTAGTTTGGTTAGTAAGCTTGTGACGCGAGTAAGGAGCGTGGGGCGTAGCTTCAGAGCGGTTTTATGCATATATGCGTATGGAAGGTTGGATATGGGGAGGTGTGACCGGACCCAGGCAAGGCCCCGAGCGTGGCAGTGAGGAGGATGGGGGAAACGATGGGCCCGAGGGCGAGGGCGAGGGAATAGCCGGCGTCTGCGTGGCGTTCCAGCCGACGTACCGCGCGCCTGCGCGTCGGAGATTGTTGAGCTTGCAATAGGCCGGTGGATAGGATGGTGGGTGTAGGGGATCGTCCGCATGCTTGGCGGTAGGCTTTTGCATGGCAACTGACCCACCTCTAGACTGGCTATAGCGGAACAGGCTGCCTACCCGCTGCTGCGGCTGCTCTTGTTCCGGAACTGGTCTGGGCCATTTTCTTTCACGGCAATTGGGTCCACGGTGTGATTCCCTTCCCCATCTCTCCACCAACTCCACCTGTTGCCTGTATTCGCTCTCTGTTTCATTTTTCTTGGCCTCTCTTGACGCCCCTGTGTGCTACTGTCGGCGAACACCACGTGCAAATATAGCCGCGACCAGAGCCTCCTTTTTGGTTTGCAAATTCAAAACCCATAACCTCGTTATTCTGATTAAGCGCAAGGTTTTCACTGTCTTCGTAAACAGCAATGGCGAATATCAATTTATCAAGCGGGTAAATGATCTTACCGCTAAAACACGGAGACGGTACTGCTTATGCTGCTGCAATTAACCTCTGATTTTACTGAAATAGAAAAAACATATGTGTTTTGGGCGTATCTTCAAAATCAACCCAAACCAAAAGCGAATGGGACGAGCTCTTGGTCCTTCTTGTACACTTTTGTTGACCTCTTACATTTTTCACTCGGCTGGGTGCCTAGTTATTGGCGGGTACCTACCCAAGGAGCGGGAAGTGGGGAGTGCATAGGAGAGGTGGAGAGAGAAAGGGCATGTCTGGACTCTTGGGTTGGAAGGGGTTTCACCTCCGTGGAGATGTGGGAGTGAATGCGATACAGTTCCTGGCCTCCTTCCCGACGCAAGTTTTGAGCGTGTTCTATGTATGTGCTGATCAGGACCGGGTTACTTGAGGCTTGGCCTTTGGGCATACGTACTGTTCGTATAATTTAGCAATACGTGCTGGCTAGGAACCCTTCGACGGTTTCATAACCCTCGGAAGCCGTTTGATGTGCGCGCGCCTTCGCGTTGTGATGTGTGTGGCGAGGGGGGCGTGGATGATGTGGTGAAACAGAAGGAACGAACTGGACTTTGAACCAGGACATAAGTTCATCCTCCTCCCTCAACCAGCCTTAACTGGAAATTGGGTGAGAGGTTTGCCAAAGGATGTAACATAGGCCTGTGACCAATGGATACGCTCCTGGGAGGGAGCACGGTGAGATGGGATGGGGATCGAGTAAAACGTTCAGGACGTTTTTGTTGGGTTGCTTTGAACGATCTAATTGCAATATGGCATGACAACGGCGAACGTGTTCTGTCGGTCCTTCCTAACGCTGACTTTGGATGCGAGGATAACCCAATTGGATGAATAAGGAGGATAGAGGAAAGGGAGCTGGAGGACTGGACCCCAGCTGGTTTCACCTGGTCTCAAGCGACACTAAGTGAGAGTGGTTTTGGAAAAGGGTTTCGGGAACGGTGCCTAGCAAAACCCCAGCAGCACGATGCGCAAACCGCATCGAGAGTATACAATGATACCTATGCGTCCCATTAGCTTGGGAGAAACCCTAAACCCCCCCTGAGAGCAGCAGCTGTGCAACATGTGTGAGAAGAAATCCGTGGACGTGTGCCGTTGTCCTCCCTCTCCCCAACAAACGACACAACGTGCAGGAGGCTTCTTTTCCTTACAGAAGAGGCAATGGAAGGCGAAGTCCAACAGCTTTTTTCGGCCATGGGAAACCTCAAATAAGAGAGACAATGGCGGGACGGCCCTGCCGAGTGCAGCAAGGGCCCGAACGGGGAAAATTTGGAAGAGCCATGGAGACCCCCTTATAGCAATGCGACACTGAGGCATGCACAAACCCGACACGCAAATGCACATCCTCCTGGTTTACCAGCCTAAACTGGAATAGGGACCTACAGGCCCGCTTTCTCCCTGAGTTGTACTGATATAATCCCAAATGGTATACGAGAACAGCTGTTTCCAAATGCCAGGGTTGCGCCAACGCTTCAGGCGTAGCTTGGACTCGGGCTGGGCCGGCGCGACAATTATCTGCTGTGGCAGCTGAGGTACACCAGGCTGGGCTATAGTCGCACCACACGTCGTCGTTGTGAAAATAACGGTTGGGCAGGTAATGGGTTCTTGTCACAAAGAGCTGCCGTTGCCAACCTTTCGACATGCCGAGAAGAAACATCTAAAAGAAAAATGTCAGCAGATAATTACTGCTAACGTGTTGCTACATTGATGATTTTCACCATTATAATATCTACGTTCTAGAAGGCCGAGTCAACACGGCAGGTACGGGATTACGTGTCCCCTGTAACCGCTTGCTAATCAGAATCTTCCTTTCATAAATTGGAGTTTTGATAGGGTTTACTGATTTGGCAAGGTAGGAATCCTTGACTAATTTGTAGTCCCACCTGTACAGATCACCGATTCCGGCACATTTCCGAAGCTCGACTTGATCTGAAGTCTTGCGTAGGCACCGTTCCAGCTTTACGGCATGGCTATGCCTAGATTTGTGGCCGCTGTCGCGGTGCTAGGCTTGTTGATCGTGAACGCGAACGCCTTCTACTCTCCGAACGGGCCGGTTGTGGAGCTCACGGCCAGCAATTTGAAGTCCAAGGTCAAGAGTGCTGGCATCGTGCTTACGGAGTTTTACGCGCCATGGTGGGGCCTTAGCCTTGTTGTCTTTGCTTGCCCGTTCTCTTACATCGCTTGCTGTGGCACCGCACACGTTAGAACACACGTCGCTGACTAAACCCGCCTTGCTGTCTACCATTATGCTCTCGACCCTTACTTGTAGGTGTGGACACTGCCAGGTGCGGGCTGCGAAAATTCCGCTGACAGCTTGGATGTTGGGGGCGTGTGTGTGACGGAAGCGGGATAAAGGTTACCGCGAATTTGAGTACAACACCCTGCAACCATACTAATGTCATAACCACCTGTGGTCATATCCGTGCTGGTAGCGGAGCTCATATGTTTAGCTTATCCCATGGCTTAAGGCTGCGTCTAATATGACCAAGCGCACGCCAAATGTACGACCTTTACGACCTTCACGCGGCTCGATGTTTTGAAGGAAGAGTCCGACATCAGCCATGGCTAGGGCACATGGAAACAGTCGTGAAGACGCTATCACTGTCTACGCTATCTTCTTACGAATAAGCGCACGGAGCCACTGGTACAGCAACAGAGTGCACGAACACACGTACACACGATCAGCGTCTCTTCGCCACAACCGATTAGGAGCCTATTCCACGATCAGCCCCACTGCAGCTAGCTGTACGCCTCCCTCCCTGCCTCACCCACACCCGTTTGCGCCATCCAGTCCCTGAAGCCAGCTTGGGAGCAGGCCGCCAAGGCTCTCAAGGGCATTGTTGCGGTGGGGGCAGTGGACTGTGACACACACAAGGAGGTAGCTGGGGAATATCGCATCCAGGTAGGCATGTGTGGGGCGGATTGTGTGTGTGTGTAGGTAAGGAGGAGTACATGGGGATATGATAGGGGGAATCCGAGACGAGGTGTGGTGGAGTGGGTTCTGGATGGCTACTGTTTCAACGTGTTGGGGTTGGATTGAGGATAACGACTTGGGTGGTGGGGTAATTTCAGTGATAACGAGGTGAGATTCGGGGTGTCTGGCTGGAGTTGGTATTGAAAGCGTCCTAGGGGCTGGGTTGTGAGAGGGAGCAAGAAATGCCGCTTCTAATGGGGGCCGGGGGTCGGCGAGGTCAGCGTAGGGAAGGCGGGTAAGCCAGCGGGTCACGAACTGTACGTTGTGTATGTGGAGTGCGTATATTAGCTGGATCCGGGGGGCCCACCTCGCTTGAGAACGGCAAGCTAGGGCCCGCCCTGCCGGTCAACAGACAGGAGGCACCTCACTCTGTTTCTGTGTCTGTGTGTGTATGCGCTTTGGGAGAAGGGTCGTGCATGTGCATGTCCTTTCCTTCCGCTCCTGCCAGTAGTGCAGGTGCGTGCCACCCTTGGCCTTTTCATTTACCGCCTACCACACGTGTGTACGTATGTATATTTTTTTACAGGGCTTCCCCACCATCAAGTTGCTATACGTCGATGACGCCACCGGGTCCATCAAATCGTTGGATTACAACGGCGGACGTACCGCCAAGGTGTGTATGTATGTATGTGTGTATGTTGGGGGCATATTGGAGGTGGAGGACGGGATAGGGACAGGGGCTGGGAAAAGGTTTCTGCAAGAAGGTAAAACAAACACCAGGGGCGTCTGTGGGTTGCGGTGGGGTGGGGTGGGGTGGGGGGACTGCAGCACACAGCACCCTGTGCAAGCTGTCACGATGGCGGTGCCGCAAGTCAGTTGTAAACCGTAGAACTCGTTCCGAACTAGTTTCTGAACGCTGAAGGGACCCCCTTGCAACCCTATAACCCATTTTTTATAAGTCATTCCCTACCCCATTAAGAAAATGCATTCCCTGCGATCCTACTCCCATCTCCACGACCTGAAACAGGATCTAGTCACCTTTGCTCTGGACAAGGCCAAGTCCCTGGCCATGAAGCGCCTGGGCGAGAAGGCTTCGTCTGGATCCGGATCCAGTTCTGGATCTAGCTCTGGATCTGGATCTGGGTCGGACGGCTTTTACGGCGGTACGGATGTGGTGACACTGACGTCGGACAACTTCCGTACCCAGGTGGTCAAGAGCAACGACCTGTGGCTTGTGGAGATGTACGCGCCTTGGTGAGTCCGTGTGGGTCCGTGTGGGATGCGGGAAACGGGGTAGAAGGGGGGAGGGTAGAAGGGGGGCCCGGGGGTTGGGGTTGGATGGAAAGGGGACGGGGAAGGGGAAGGAGGATTTCTCCCTGCTTGTAATCTTGCTTGTAAGTGAAGTGAGATGTATCCTGAGGTTGGGGTGTACGGGTAAATGGTTGGTTGGTTGGGCATGTGGGTCTCGTCCCGCTTACCTTTTTTTTCCTAAACCTCGTCCCTATACACACATGCACGAAGATAAACCTACACAAGCTGAACTTATCAAGCAATCCCTCCACCAATTTGGCCTCCCTCTATTCCATTCGTATAACCATCCATGATTGCCCGCCCCACCGTCCTCACACCACCACCCCTGCGAGGTAAGTTCAGGTGTGGGCACTGCAAGGCCCTTAAGCCCGCCTGGATTGAGGCAGCTTCGGAGCTGGCTGGCAAGGTCAAAATCGGAGCTGTGGATTGCACCGCACACCAGACCGTTTGCTCAGAGTACGGCGTCCAGGTACGGGTACGGCAAAAGTCCCATTCCGATGCATTCGACGCCTGTACGATACGCGGTGCGGTGTGATGTGGTGTGAGTTATGTGAGTTATTTTCCCTACCCCTCTACCACTCCCTCTACCCGCGGTCTTGGGTCTTTGGCAATTACTCAACACCGCATGCAACACAACACCTCTTCTCCTCTCTCCCCGTCCCCTCGCCCGTCCGCTCTGTTATTACCCGTCCCCTCGCCCGTCCGCCCTTTGTCCCTTTGTATCGGGAGGAAACAAGACCTCGTCACCTTACCTCCTCGCTGCTCCCCCCTGACCCCCCAGGGCTACCCCACCATCAAGTTCTTCGGAGCGGACAAGCGCTCCCCGCAGGACTACCAGGGCGGCAGGGACAGCGGCTCCATCGTGTCGTTTGCAATGGCCAAGTTCGCGGAGCAGGTGCTTGGGAAGGATGATGGAAGGGAACATTTTTGCGCGCTGCTATCTTCACGCTGTCAAGAAACGCAGCGGAAGTGCATCGCAGACACCACCAACTGCCTAGAGAGGGAGATGGGTCTTGGGGAGTAGGGCCGAGAAGATACAGCTCTCATCGCCAGGGAGCGGCAGAGGAAATTTGGCAAACTGTGTAGAAGGGTGGGACGGGGAGGTCTTCTTTTCCTTTCCTGTTGATGTTGTTACAGGGTGGTTAAGCTTCACCAGTGGTCTCCTTCCCGAGGCAATTCCCTGCTCTCCCCTGCTAGAGGGGCACCCTAAGCCATTCTCCCCTGCTAGAGGGGCACCCTAAGCCATTCTCCCCTGCTAGAGGGGCACCCTAAGCCATTCTCCCCTGCTAGAGGGGCACCCTAAGCCATTCTCCCCTGCTAGAGGGGCGCCCTAACCCCATCCGACTTCAGAGTGTACTCTTTGAGTTTGGCAACTCACCACCAGCATCCAACCAAATCTAGCGGATCAACGGCGCCTCAACTTAGTTCCTGGTCAGCTCGCGAGTTGATTTTATCACGTCCTACACCGTCCACAAGATGGGGGGCCACCTCCCATTTCACCACCTCTCAAACACCCGAGAGGTCGGCAGGCGGATTTGAACCCGGGTCGGCCGGGAGCAGAAGTCAGGCCTTAACCTCTGCCAGCCGCCTCCTGTTATACCCCTTTTCCCCCTAAGAAGCCTCCCTCCTGCAACCCCACCTTAAAACCTCCCGCAGGTCCCTCCTCCGGAGCCGGTGGAGCTGACCAGTCAGAGCGTGTTTGAGTCGGTGAGTGCGTGTTGGTGTGGTGTGGGTGCGTGAACGGATTGACCCGTGGTTCACGGCTCCATCCAGGACAGGAATATTTGTTGGTGTCGAACTGACCCGTGGGTCACATCACCTGTAGGATAGAACATTGTCGGAGGAAGCGGGGACTCAGATCCCTGAGTATAGCTTAGGCTAATTCATGTTTCTGTGTGGCAGCGGTATATTAAGAATTATCATATTACTCAAAAAAGGATACAGGGCCAGCAGCGGGAAAAGACGCCGGCTGTTGCGCTGGGCATGCACTACATCATCCACGCCAACCCCCGGGCCCCTCCCACACAATGCAACCCACCCTTAACCTCTCCTAACAAAACAGTTGTTCTGGCTCATGCCCTTGTCCATGCTGTTGCTGTTGAGGATGAATCCTCCTACAATGTATCCCGCAAAGGTCTTCGATGTTGCTTTTGTTGTTCTTTTCTTTGTCGTTGCTGTTGTTCTCACTACTGCTGGCTTACTTTTCCGTAGGAGTGTTTGGGCGACTCCTCCGGCGCCAAGGCCCGGAGGCTGTGCTTGGTAGCCTTCCTGCCCGACCTGCTGGACTCCAAGGCGGCGGGTGAGTGGGGGAGCGAGCTGCTGGGAAAGGGGGATGGGAATGTGGGGTAGAGCAGGGGGGATTGAGGATGAGGCTAGGGCCGGAAACGGGGTTTTCCAGCGTGGAGGTTTTGAAGGGGATTGCGAATGACATGAACGGCGATGTGGCCCCGGACCGAATCCTGGCGAGAGAAGGAAACCTTGTCTCACCTCTCCCAGCTCTTCGCCCAACCCAACCCCACACCCCTCCCCAGTTCCCTGTGCCGGGCACCTCCCCTCCCACCGGACGCCAACTGCCTTACACCCCCTTTCTTCACACGCTTCCTTTCTTCAGGCCGCAACCGCTACATCAACATTCTCAAGAAGACGGCGGAGGCGTACAAGGACAAGCCGTACTCGTACCTGTGGGTCCAGGGCGCCGTTCAGGAGGGCTTGGAGTCCAACTTCGGAGTCGGTGGATTTGGCTACCCAGGTGGGGTGGGGTGGGGTGGGGGGAATTGGGGGTTTGGAGAGGGGAACGGTGGAGAAAGAGAGCAAAAGGGATAGAGGGAGGGCCAGGGTTCTAAGCGCATATCCCACTCCCCGAGGCTCGGCTTTTTTCTTAAACTCCATTACCTCTCATCACCACCTGCGCATGGCTCTTGGCCATTTCCTCTTGAAGAACCTTCAACGCCCCCCAAACCGCATCTACCGCCCTTTATACCTGACGCAGCGCTGGTGGCTTTTAACCCGGCTGACAAGAAGTACACTGTGAGTTGGTGGTTGGGTTGGGATGGCGAGGCGGGGTGGTGTGGGGTTGAACATACATACATATGTACATGGGCAAATACACACAAGCTAATTTACGCAATCTGTCAGCTGACAGGTCCCATAGCTGCCCATGACAAGCGCCAGCCCCTCCAATCAGCTTGCGCGACAGACACCATCTGTCACACAAACCACACACACAGATGACTGCAATTCTTGCCCTTTCGCTGTGTAGTGCAGTTATTTAGTAAACACCTTTTGATGGTAGGCAGGAGTGGGAAGACCTTGAGCAGCGGCCCCCATTTCCGTGACTCTTTTGAACAGGGAGAAGATGTGCACGTGTGCGGCCTTGACGCGCCCCTGTGGCTACATTCCTTCTGTTTTCCCCTCCTCGTTCGTTAGAAAACGTTCTTAGCAAAAACGTCCGATCCCAGTTGACGGCCGTATGTGGAATTGCGGGCTGCCGCGCATCTCGCCACCACCACCATCACCACCACCACCACCACCATCTGTTGTGCCACGAATATGCTTTACCTCGTCCCATCACCGCTTGAAAGTTCTTGCTACGTATGTATGTATGTATGTATTCCTCGCAGGTTTGCAAGAGCGCATTCGAGCTGAACCACGTCAAGGACTGGATCGAGGCCATGAGGATGGGGGGCACCGGGGCATTGCCGCTGCAGGTGTGTATCTGTGTACGGATGTACGTACACACGCACGTACGTACGACTGTGTGTTTTGGTTGGCCAACATTATCTCGAGGGTAAAACGAGGCACTGCATGTATGTGCGTCGAATGTTTGTTCCTGGTGGGAGCACGAAGAAGCGAAACGAAGTCCCCAACTCCTTGGGGAGGGCAAATCGAAATACTGAAGGTTCAAGATCATTAGAATTATTTTTACTCCTTTAAATGAAGATATTCTAAGGAAATTTTCAGGGAGGAGTGCCGTACCAAGGGACAAACTGCCCTGGTCTTGTCCTCGAGTGTATGCCGTTGTTACGTACCGAGCGCGGCGCGGGGAGAAAGATAGGCATGTGTTGTGTTATTGTTTTCTGTGATGCGATTTAACAACCGCAGGCTGAGAGAAGCCAACAAAGGGGGGTTGTAGTAGTAGTAGTAGTAGTAGTAGTAGTAGTAGTAGTAGTAGTAGTAGTAGTAGTAGTAGTAGTAGTAGTAGTAGTAGTAGTAGTAGTAGTCGTGTCTAACCCGTCAATACGGTTGGCGGAAAGCCATCACGTCGCGATGCATATGAACTGCACATGCGCTCTCCGGCCGCCCTGGCTCCTCTCGCCTTCCCTCCGCCTTCCCTCCGCATTCTTGGTGATTATCGGCTCGGCTTCCGCCGCCGCCGCCACAGCCGCTATGTCTGTCTGTATTCTCCTCTCCCACCCCATATGAAAGCACTAAAGTAGATCTATAAATACTGCAACCCTTCCACCCACCGACAGCCACTGCTCCTCCCATTATCACACCGCCCTGCTCGCACCCCTATTCGCTTGCTTACCCTACTCCAACTCCCCTCCCTTTCCCCCGCTCCCTAGGGCTCCCTCGCATCCATAAAGTCCATCACCCCGTGGGACGGTCAGGACGCCAAGGAGGAGGCGGCGGACGAGTTCGACTTGAGCGACATTCTCAATGAAGAGCTGTGAGGGTCCTCCATCATCGCCATCACCATCACCATCACCACCAATAACAGTCGCTGCATTGCATGGAGCTGTAAGGCCGCAGGCAGGCGGCGGGTAGCTGTTCCGTTTGTCGACATGTGTCGTTAGGAGCCGCTGAGTGCACACTGCTGTTGGGCCTGCTTTGGCAACCCTTGCCGGGCCCCGGCTGCTGGGACTCTATAGGAAGAGCGAGAGAGGATGAACCAGTGGTTGCGTCCTTGGGTGGTGATGTGTGCGTTTGTGTGTTTTGGGAGGGAAAGGTGTAATGGTGAATAAGGAAAGCGGAAGGTATGGCTGCGCATGCCCGAGTGTTAGCAGTAGGTTGTGTGGGGAAGAAATGGATTGCGCCATCTTGTGTGGTGCTGTTCGTCCTTGAGCTGCCGTTGTGAGAGAGGCCGGAGGAGCGGGCCCGGTGTTAGGTGAACTATACAAGGGAGTTCGAGGTGGTTGGCAAAAGGTGTAAGCGTGCGAAAGGGTTGACGTCCCTGGTATGGGGGAGGGGTGGTGTGATTGGGGCTGTTTCAGACTTGTTTAACTCCGGACCTTGCCGGGGTTTGATAGCGTGTATGACAGTACTTTGTCAATCAGACAGCAGAGTCGGCTGGCCATGGGATATATGCCACAAGCGCGACAGATACGAAGAGATAGCGAGCGACTCAACGGCCGTTCAGGCAACTGTATCTGATGTATTTGCGAGCTGTTAAAACTTTTAGAATTTGACCTTATGAGTACTGTTCAACAGAGAACCTAGCGAAGCAACCATGAAACGCACCATCATTTTTCCTGGAACGTCGTTACACCATCTTACTGCCGAACAGCGCACCTTGTCTTTTACGCCATCCATCTGCCCAACAATCCCGTGTTCACGACGAAAAACACACAGACACGGTGACCCGGCTCCCACACAACCGGGGTTGGCCCTGCGCATGGTGACCACCGCCATGCAGTCCTCCTCTCTCTCCCCCCTGGACCGGTGAAACGAACCCTTTGGCCTGACAGCCCGCACAACAGCCGATCTCCTCAAGGGCAACTCCTGCGCCTAACCCGCTGATGGACCGCGCGGAGACATTCGCTGTGCACCCGAACACGTCGTATACGTCCCCGTAAAGCCTTCCCGCCAACTGGGTATAACCAACTTCCCCCCCTCCGGCCTCCCTCGCAGCTGCCCCTGGCAAGGTTTAAAAACGCCTAGAATCCAGCACACAACGTAAGGAGCGGCACAACAAGCGCACGTGTATACGGGAACATACCGCGCGGAAAGGCCACGTCAACAAAATCCGCACATACATCACTATAATAATTGCCCTGTGAAGTATATTGGGGGATGCATATCACTGCGCAGCTGCTTCTTTTTTTGAGAGGAAGCCATGTCAGATGTGATGACGCGACGCTGCACATACCCGGGAGCAGCAGCATCCTTAATGCACGCACCTCCCCCCCCCCTTCGCTAGGTCGCTACTGACTGAACGCTTTGCCGAAAGGCCCCGAGCTGGCCTTCTCCCCGAACTCGCCCTGAGGGGTTCGTTGGACGACGGTTCGTTGGAGCGGTTCGTTGGACGGCGGTTCGTTGGACGGCGAGCATGTAGGGCAAGGGGAAGGTGTAAGACAAACCACTGGCGAGTGAAGCAAATACCAGAAATAGACGGATAGGGGTCAGGAGAAGACAAGTGCTGCATCAGGAATATTTACTGACCAGCGCCGACTTGAGTTGTGATCTTGGCGGCGACGTGGCCAGGTGGGTTGCGAGACGAATAACTTGCTGGCAAATCCAAAGTCTAAGAAAGACAGAAGGCGAAAAACGCAGCAGAAAAACTACCCAGTCGCCGAGGTGGAAGGAAAGTCTTATGAACGGAAGCCGCAGTGGTGACGTGTAGGACTAACACATCCCTGGCCCGACCCAACCCAACCAACGCAACCTAGCTGGCCAGCTAGCCCCAACGCCGATGTAGCGCAAAACAAACGACACAGCTAGAACCCGCTAGGACTCACAAGCGGCGGGCCAGGCCACATGCAAAACGGAAAGCAAGTAAGTTGGTTGGTCAGCAACGGCAGATGAACAAGGGGGAGGGCGCCCGGGACTTGAAAAGTAAAAAAGTAGTAGTAGCGTGGTGAAAGGAAGAGGTTAAAGGGTGCCCAAGCCCAAGCCCAGCCCAGCCCAGCCCACAAAGCCAGCCCTCCCCAAGCACCCCCACCTGCACCGTGCTACATTTAAATTTCCCCGGCTCCTCGCGCAGACAGGTGTCGATAGCGGAGACCTGGGGAAGGGCGGTCCGGATCCCGGGGGATGAGAGGGTGGGGTGGCAGTGGTGGTGTGTGTGTATGGGGCACGCGGAGGAGGAGGTGCCCCCTGGGGCAGGGGGTGGGCGCCAGGGGGCGCGGGGAGGGAGGGCCACCTAGGTGTGTTTTCCACGACACTAACGCGCGCAGCCGCCCCAGAAGTGGCGGGTGATGTGAGGTGCTTCACCACTACAGAGAACGAGGTCCGAACGGGGGGTGCGAGGGGTGGGCGGGAGGAGCAGGAACCAAGACGCAACGGCCCTTACTGCGAGGGGTTGCTAAGGATTGTGGACAACAACACGACCCCGCACACCCCCCTGGTTAGAGAGACGGCAGCAGTAGCAACCATAAACAGCAACAACAGCAACAACAAGTGGCGCCTCTCGCGCGGCTCTCTCGCTTAGTTCGGTTCGCAGTCTTCTGCGCCGCTGTGCTGCCTAGCCAGGGGCAGGGAGATCGCCCCGGCTGGCGTGACTGAGGTAGTGAGGTGCGTGCGGAGGAACAGACCTGGACAAGGAGCCGCGCGCCCGCCCCTGCGCTGTGTTTCGGCCCCCGGTCAGGGCCCCCGGTGCCCTCAGGCAGGGCGACAGAGCCACCCACAGTGTAGCACCCCCTCAACAATAACACTACACAACAGCAACAGCAACGCCATAACAACGCGCCAAGCCGCCTCACTCACGCACCGCGTTCAGGATTGACGCCGCCTCGCCATTCTCCTGCCAGTAAAACTTGTTGCCGTACTGTACGAATGCCGTACATGCAGTCGGGTTCAGGGCAAATGGCCTAGGAGTAATGAAAGGCAAAAGCACAAGCACAAGCAAAAGCGAGCAAGCACACACAGAGCAATACACCGCCCCTCCAGTATATCAACACATGATATACCTCCACCTCAGCCACCCGCCCACCTTGCCAGCTAAGCGTGTCCAAAAGCTCTGAAGTAGCAGCCGCAGCAGTAGCAGCAGCAGTAGCAGCAATAGTGAAGGCATCAGTAGCAGCAGGGTACCGGCAGTAGCAGCAGAAGCCGTTAGGGAGGCACACACGACGATGACACGCGGTATTAAAGCCAACAGCATTTAAACAAATGTACGACGGGCAACCACAATTACCATCACTCCCCACTTCCCCCAAACCCTGCCACCTCATCCTTCATCTCCTTTAAGCACCCACATCCCCCCCTCACATCGCCCCGCTCCCAAGCTTACATAGTCCCAATGTACAACAAAAACCCTTCCCACAAACCCTACTCGCATCCCTCTTTTTCCTATCTCCCCCCTCCCCCCTCAGCTCACCCTGGGCACCTCCAAGTCCACCCCAGCACCGACATTGAAGTTGAGTATGTCACCGAACGTGGGGTCAGCCACAAACACAACCGTGTTGTCGTCCACCCCCCAGTACTCCCGGATGGCGAGACCTGGAGAGGCGTGTGAACGCGTGCGTGTGTGTATTGGGGTGGTGTGTGTGCGGTGCGGGCGTGTGTGTGTGTGTGTGTTGAGTGGGAAGGGGGAGGGGGTATCGGGCTCCGTTAAGGAAGGGAAACGAAAAGGCCAGAGCCAAGCCCCGGTCATCAACCAGGCCTTGAGATCTGCCCCTCCTTCCCAATTTTGCCTCCCCGCTTCCCGGGGCCCCCCCCCCACACAAACAGAAACAGAAACACAGTTCATCAGGACACACACACACACACGCGCACACAGCTTTATTTTAGGGCCTCGTGCCGCAGTAGGGAGGGGTAGGGTCTGTACAGGGCTGCCGGGTTTCCTCTGTCTTGCGGGTTTCCTCCGTTTAAAACCCTTAGAGAACCCTTTTCACCCCAAGGGCCGGATCAGGCCGGGGAGGGAGAGGGGAGTCTTGTTGTCTGTTTCAAGCTCGGTGCGAGAACTCGCGTGACGGAGCCTTGACTCGTGAGAGCGTGTGCACGCGTGCAACGCCTCTCCCATACCCCACCCGGGGGAGGAGAGCGGAGCTAGCGGACCTGCGGCTCTCCGCGCTGCTTAGGAGGGGGCAGGACAGAGGCCCCTCTAGCGCCCCTCTCCCGTCCGCGGGAGAGAGCTTAAGGAGGCGGTCTTTCCGTTGGGGCTGGGTTCCAGCAGCCCCTGTGGGCAGTGTCAGGCCCGGTCAGATACTTGCGACCTTCACACACACACACACACACATACAAACACACACGCACGCAACCCCTCACCGGGCGTCTCCGGGTAGTTCTGTGCGAGCACCCGCAGCTTAAAACCCGTGTCCTTCTCCAGGGCCGCCACCTCCGCAGCAATACGCCTCTCCTGCGGGGGGGAAGGGGGACGCGGAGCCGGGGGGGACGCATGGGTCGGGTGTGTGTGGGGTGTGTGTGTGGGGGGGGAGGAAGAGTCAAGGAAACACACGCAGGCGCGTCGGACCGTGGTGAGGGGGTTATTTCGGGGGAGAGTGTGTTCGTGGTCTGCCACGTCAACAAGCACTATGGGGCAAACGATTGTAATGGGCAATCAGGCAGAGGTTGCAGTGGCCATGTGTATGTACGTACGTGCAAGTTACAAGTTACAAGCTCCACACGAGTGCGGGGGTTGTCCATAAAAGCCGGGGGGCCCATGGCCGGTAAATCGTTTTTAGTGCGGTTACGTGGTGGACCATCATCGTCCTCCCTCGTCCGCTTGAGCACGAAGCGCCTTAGAGCAGCGTGCCGGGTCTCCCAGACTTCCGAGAGGAGCCTGGCTAGCGCCAGGCGGTCATAATCGTGCGCATGTTGCGCCCTTGAAACGCAGTCGCAAAGCTTGCAGGTGCGCGCTGCGCGCTCACGGCGGTTAGGTCGGTTAATCTCTAACTCCCAACAGCCTAGCCGGAAACGCATAAGCACTTGATGCAAACGTTTGGACAATGCGGTTTCAGCGTGGGCCATCCACTTATGCCGCGTGCTTTAAGCGGGGCCGGCCCCATCCTGTTCAGATAGCGACATGCCTTGACGCCGGTACTTCCAATTGGGAAGGTGCGCGGGTCGCCTAGGGTATCTGGGCGCTCCCACCGGGCGTCGAGCCGCCTAGCGAACTCCTTTAAGTAAGCTCTTTAAGTAAACTCTTTAAGTATGTATGTGTGCCATGTATGTACGTGTGCCATGTATGTATGTATGTATGTATGTATGTATGTATGTATGTATGTATGTATGTATGTATGTATGTATGTATGTATGTATGTATGTATGTATGTATGTATGTATGTATGTATGTATGTATGTATGTATGTACGTGTGCCATGTATGTATGTATGTATGTATACATGCATGTGTTATGTGACAATTGCAGCCCGAAGCATGAGGATGGTAAACGTTGCCCTTCGCGGAGCGCTGTGTTTTCCCTCCCTGCCCCCCTCCCACTCCCCCCCTCTCCCCCCCCTCCGATAATACAATCCGTGAGCCGGTTACGTTAGTGGGTGGATGGGTTGCATCAGCCGTCAAGACTACGGTGCCTTGACATACAAACAGACGCGCGTTCAAATACATACATACCTACAACCAAACATCCCCCTTCACACACATGCACACACGCACACACACATACATACACACACACGTAAACAAACCTCAGAGGGTGTCAGGAAGCCCGCCACGTCGATAACGGCGGTGGGTTCCCCCCGTGGCAGCAGCTCGGGTCGGTTGACCCCCTGAGGCCTGGCGTGTGCGGCTGCAGGGGGAAGGGAGAGGCAAAGGGCGGGAGAGAAAGAAAGCGGGGGGTTGAAAGAAGGGGAAAAAGGGAAAGGGGACGGGGGAAAAAGCTGGATACTGGGGAACTGTATGCAGCCAAGTTAAGGAAACAATTGCGGACGTTCTGAGTTGGCGACTGCTGGAGATGTATGTAGACGCCGGAGGGTGGCGGGAGACAAAGATGTGCGGGAAATGGGGTTCAAGCAAGCGATCAGAAGCCGCGCCGGCGTGCAGGCGGGTGGAGGACCCCACTTACACGTACATGCCCGTATCTCTAAAAAAAACCCACATGCCCCGCACACGTCCCCACGCTCCCACATTGTCTCTCGGCCCCCGGGGAAGTGATGGGTAAGGTGAGGCGTGTGGCGCATAATGTGTGTGTGGTACCGAAGACTGGGACAGGGGGATGGGGCCATTAGCTGGGTATTCGAGGGAATCCTTTCCGCATCAAAAGTGAAGAGATGAACAAGAACGGGACCAGGAGCTAGTAATGGAGCCAGTATGCATGGCCATTAGCTGGCAGCGGAGCGCACCTGAAGTAAGGACAGAAAGGGTGGCCAGTCCGGCGATGGCCGCATGAACCACGTGCCTTGAAACGCACAAAACATCCACCTTGGACTCGGTGGGCCCGTTTTTACAATTAATTGCAGAGCAGCGCACAGTACGCAGCGGTGCTGAGGATGGTAGCTGACAGCCCAAAGGCTTCAGGTGACGATGGCCAGACGCGTAAGGAGGAACCGTGGAATGCAACATGGTTATAAGAGTGATAACAGGCAATCCGCCGCAAATCTGCTTGTGATTTGTAATGCAGACTGTTTTGCTTGAGTCCAACTTTCCTGACGCCACATCATCCTGCCGTACAAAATTGAACAATACTCCGTTAGCCCCAGATCGTATTAAGATGCCGCCCCAGGAAGAAGCTATTGAACTGAATTACGAAGGATATGCCCGACAACTATATCAATCTTCCGCACCAAGCTGCAGAAATCGCTTTCATAAATGCAGCAGTTTGCGGATCCCGAAGGTTGCCGCGCATGGTTTATATCACTCCTATCCTGAAGACACCCTGTATTGTAGCAGATGTTAAACGGTTGGCTACGCCGGCACGGAAGGGCTGTCTTAAAACTGGCATTAGAAGGCGGAGGAAAGGTTCATGTAAAAGCAAGATTTGTGCGCGGGCAGGAATGCATACCGGTGTGGGAATGCGTTCCGGCCTGGACCACATACAGAGCGAAACTCCGATGAGCGGGAGCCGGTGGGGTTGGCTCTGAACAGGGAGGAAGCCGGCCATGTTGGAGGTGTATTCGCGCTGGAGTGGTAGTACCGGCGTCAAGGCATGTCGCTATCTGAACAGGATGGGGCCGGCCCCGCTTAAAGCACGCGGCATAAGTGGCTGGCCCACGCTGAAACCGCCTTGTCCCAACGTTTGCATAAAGTGCTTACGCTTTCCGGCTGGGCTGTTGGGAGTTAGGGATTAACCGACCTAACCGCCGTGAGCGCGCAGCGCGCACCTGCAAGCTTTGCGACTGCGTTTCAAGGGCGCAACATGCGCACGATTATGACCGCCTGGCGCTAGCCAGGCTCCTCTCGGAAGTCTGGGAGACCCGGCACGTTGCTTTAAGGCGCTGCGTGCTCAAGCGGACGAGGGAGGATGATGATGGTCCACCACGTAACCGCACTAAAAACGATTTACCGTCCATGGCCCCCCCGGGTTTTACGGACAACCCCGCACTTGTATGGAACTTGTAACTTGTAGCTGGAGACATTAAGAGCGGGGCATCTATCTCGGCGTGGCAGCCGGTGCGGACACAGACAGCAAAAACAGAATTAATAGCGACAAACGCGATCGATGCCAGCGACCTGGGCTACAGCAAGGGGGATTAGGCGCCAGGGCCGCGGCGCATGGGGCAGCGGCCAGCAGGCAGCTCGGGCGGGCGGGTGCAGGGTGGGCGGGCACAGCAGTATGTAGGACAGGGAGGTGTGGGTGCAGCCGTGCAGCCGTGGGCTGTGCTACAACGCAAAACATCGATTAAGCGAGTGACGGGAACAATCGTTCTGCACCCGATGGCAGCAGCAGTGATGGTACGATGCCACGTGCCTTTATGATGGCGCTTGCAGTTGGCTGAGTGACGTTTGTAAAGCGCCTGTCGCAATCCAGAAGAACAGCCTGCGGTCTTTATGCATGGGGTAATATGGTGAGTTAGGACGTATTTCCCGGTCGTATAATTCGATTCTGGCTCGACTGATGACTTGGAATTTGAAACGGAATCAATTGCACTGACCGTATATCGAATATGATTTGGGACAGGGTGGGGGTTTTACGTATTTATGATTCTATATGATTGCTTGAAACGCTTTATGTAAGGAAGCGTGTAGACAGGATCGCCTTAATCGATACCGACTGAAATAGAAAGGGCTCCGTGTCTAGTTGGGATGCCAAAATCGTTACACCGAGGGTTGAGCGACTTGAGCCTTCTAGCATACCTCAGGATGCAATAAAGATGACATAACAACCTAACAACAATAACGACTTAAATAGTTATCCAGTGCCTAGATGGCGTCTAAATGTCGTAAAACATCCCTGATCAAGACGCGCGTTCGTGAATCGAACTAACTACTCAACGACTAACAAGAAAACCTAACAAGTTGAGAATCCATTTTCATTTACGTTTTTGTGTGGGGGATATAGTATCGACTGTTAGTACCGTACAACAGTCAGTACTAGTACTGCACATAATCGGCACAACCAGATATCGGCAAACGGTGAACTGATGATTTGAAATATAAGCTATCAGCGTTGGTTAACTAAAATCCGACTTACTTCGTTTGTTGGCAACTATTTTGCCTGCAGCCTAGTAAATACGAGGCCGATCACGAATTTACACGAAAAAGTGGCTTAGTTAAGTAATGCTGGCAAATCAGCCAGCTGGATGCCCTGTATTCAAGTAACCCGTTTCGCACCGGCGTATTCAATCGCTCGATTGCAAGTTTGTGAATAAATATCTTATCGCAGGCCGACTTGGGGCTTGCAGTAGTCATAAGTATTAATATGCAGCAGTCATACTCAGAGTTACGCTACATGTGACTGCACCTCACGGGGCTTATTAAAAAGCAAATATTGTTTGGTGCATATTAGTTAATTTTGCGTGGTTACGTTTCCCACAACTTACGTAACCCCAGCTGCGCGGGCCTCTGCAATGGCAGTGATACCCTCCTGTCGTCCTCCATCACCGATTGATTTGTAGCCAGTCATAAAGATGTTCCGTTCCTTATTATTTATTGTTTGATGTTTTAGCTTCCCTTGTTGTTGATTGTTGATGTTTTAGCTTCCCCGGCTTTCCCGCCTCGGCCGAGGCTACATCTTATGCTACGGCTCGAATTGCTCCGAGATTGTTCCCTAGGCCACCAGTATCACCGCTTGCACCGCGTTGCTATCGTGTTTGGGGCCATTTTCAAGTAGTGAGCCGTTAAAAGTCCACAGAATGTTGAATTACTTACAAGGGACCAGCCGCGGCCCAGGCCGCGGCCGCGGCTTAGACGGCCGTCTAAGCAAGCTTTCACCAACTTTGACTCTCACGTACAGCAACGCGTTCTCGAGCCGGAATCAGTAAACCATCAAAGTTTTCATCCAAGCTTTAAATCATTTTCAGCGGCGATTCTAACTCCCGGGGTCCGCGGCCCGATTTCCTTTCGACCGCAGGGTTGCGCCTCCTTTCGAAGGTTCGGGGCTTTCCGCCAATTGGGGAGCCTAATGGCAAATACCCCCGTGGTCACGAGTTTTCTGAGCCTTCACCCTGGGCTTACCCTGGGCTCGCTTTATCCCACCGAGGTGACTTACACTGTCCAGCCTGGGCGTGCGCGTCTTGGCTGCGCGTGTCGCCTCAGGTGCGCTGCACGGCCAGCTGGCGGGTTGGCTCTACTTTTCACGAGTTAGGAGCCGCCAATTTAAAAAGCGTACAGTTGGTATTTAGATGCATAGTGCAAAATACTTGGCGGGCGGTCACGTACGAAAGTTGTTTCATTAGCAGGCGGCAAAATGAGTGAAGCAACGTGAAGTAATCAATGGAAAAATATGGCACCAATTGGAATAAGGAATAAGCAATGCATACATGTGGTGCCCAAGAGTAACTGCTCGTCAAAAGGTTGGAGTTATCAGTCGTCTCATCTTGCTCCTTTAGCATCTGAATCGCTTCTGAAATTTTTTGGATGGTAAAGGAGATGCACATCTTCTTGTTTGAGCCTCAATCATGAACACAACGCTCCGCAATAGTTGTCAACTAAAACTACAGTCGTGTTGATGTTAATGGTCGATAATTATGTTCATGATCCTACTTGTTTTCGATGCCATGCAATGCGCCTTGTTCCGTTGAGCAAGAGCCATACCTGGCCGACGCAGGCCTGACGGCACGCATCGATGCTGACCTTGGGTGCAAAACAGTTTGATTATAGAAATGATCAATATAATCGTGGAAATAATTCCAGTTATGAACTGGAAAGCACGAAGAAGGGACGAAACCGCAACAATTCGATTCATCGTACTGTCGCTATGATGCACAGCAGGAAAGTGAACTGCCGATGATGATGATGATGACGATGACAAAATAGCTGTGGCTCCCTACGAGTAATTGTAAATGTAAATACAAATTTAACTTTATCTGGAAAGCTTCTTAGGCAGCAGAACCTAAGCAACACTTCATTACGAAGGTCGGAAGTACACGGCACAGCACTTTGATTCGCTGGTCTGAATTGGACGAATCAAATAACGCGCGCTAAGAAACAAGAAAACTCCTATTTCAATCGAAAGCCCTAACTAACTGTACCGTGGGGCACAGTTCACGATGTTGACTGTGTAACCTGGTGCGACTCGAAGTCCTTACGTAACGGTCGTCTGACTGGGTCATGAAACGCAGTGGGAGCCACATTTCTGCGTAAGTCACGTTTAAATCAACGTTCCATCTGCTGCCGCCGAAAGTCCTCTTGTGATGTGTGTATGTTTGTGTGTGTACAAAACCTTCGCTAAAATCACCTCCTGTCGCAAATCATGCGCGATCATTAAGAACGCCCATACACTTGGTCCAATGTCGAACTAGATAATGCCTTCAATTAAAAATTTCAACCTTTATTCGCGCATCGATGCTGTAGGCCCGCTATGTAGGTACCATCAGGGGCAGTTGGGTGACAGAACTTCGGAACGAAGTTTCGGAATGTACTTCAAGCAGAAGGCCCGCCCCGGAGCTTGACGTACCAGTTTGGGCCTTGTGCCGGATTGCGTTTTAAGAGAATGCGGGGTTGATAGTGGATTGAACCCGCCCATCTTTCTGAAGGGGCAAATTCCTTCCAGAACTGCCTAATCCAATACCGCTTTGGCCTAACAAGGACACGTGCGGAGCCTGGGCCTGAACGTCTATTGCCAAGGTTGGTTTCTGCACAAGGGCTCAATTGGGACTACCTCCTAAGGAACTGGCGGGATTGTGCTTCAGCAGCATAGACGACTCGCATTGACGATTCGGAACATTTCGCATCCAAAGGTCGATGAAGCGTCGGTACCCTGTAATATCCCAGCGCGTTTATTAATGTATGGTATTGCCTGCTTACTGCGCAATTTGGAACCGCCCCCACGAAATCAGGTTGGCATTGTTGGTGATCCGCTGAAGCGAGGAGTTGGACACGCGCCATCATCTCACGTCCCCCGCCGGTGCGTTATTGACCCAGGCAGCAGGTTAGTGCTTGGGAGGAGACGTAGTCATTTATATGTGTGCATCTAGAGTAATATTCTCAGAACGTTTTGGGACGTCACACGGGCGCGTTCGGCCAAAACGCAGCGTGTAGAGTTCCAGGACCCTGGCGGGCGGACCATGAAAGATTTACATCACTTCAAATAGACAGCGTATAAGCTTATGAAGCTTAAATTCTACCCCGCAATTGCGGCAGTTTGCCATTGGGCGCATTGCATTCCTGTGCGCGGACCGGCACGTAACATGAAATTGTCCCGCGCGGTCAAGCTACTACGGCAAAGCAGTAAGCTAAACAGATAAAATAAAATTCCTTGTTTTAAATTATGCGATCACGTGATATAAATAACCCAGCAAAGTCGTCCCTGCTTTCGTAGAGCCCTCGTAAACGAAATGCCTCCAAATCGTAAGTCCCCAACCTAGCCCTCAGGAGCTGTAATCTAATGTTTTCTAAATGTAACCTAATGTTATATATAAAAGTAATATTCCGTCCGCTTGCAGCAGCTGGAAACCTCGATCACACTACTGGCCGACATCTCCACACTATTGGTCGACATTAGAACCTGGACAGGGTAGTTGAGTAATCAAAGTCATGTTGGGACAACGCAGTTTTCAGCTTTAAAAACTTGACGCATAAAACCGCCCGGGTGTGCGTCCTACCGCAAATGGATGTGACATGAACCGACGTATAGCCTTAGATAAAAAAGAGATTCACGACTGCTGTCCAGCATCAGGTCTCCGGCTGCCACGACCAGCAGCGCATTTCTACTTGGGGTTATAATGGACGGAATGAATGATTTCTCAAATCTTGATGGTCATAAGGTGGGACTCGGAAGCTGGTTACAGCTCCACGCAGCAGGTAGAGTGCGGCGGGGTGCGTGACTGGCGGAAAGATAAAAATGAGGAGGGCAACAAGAAAGGAGCAAACAAGGAGGCGCAAAAGGGGGAGCCCTCAAGACGGGGGGCGCCCTGCACGGCCCCAGGCGGGCCCCCTGTAGAAGACCTCCAGGCGGCGGCGGATGTACGGCGTCCAGGGAATCAGGCGAAACTAGGCAATCAGAAAGCTGCAACAGATTCACAAGAAGCGGATTTTTTTACGTGAATCCTGATCGCATGTGTGGCACTTAACGGATATATCCGTTGTGGAGGAACACATGTCACCGCTGGCCAGTGCAGGTGGTACAACATCTTGTCTATCTTGCCTTCCCTTGAGCCAGGGAATCAGGCGAAACTAGGCAATCAGAAAGCTGCAACAGATTCACAAGAAGCGGATTTTTTTACGTGAATCCTGATCGCATGTGTGGCACTTAACGGATGTATCCGTTGTGGAGGAACACATGTCACCGCTGGCCAGTGCAGGTGGTACAACATCTTGTCTATCTTGCCTTATAAAAAGACTTCAGTAGGTCCCTGACCCGTATTTTTGTTATGTAATGTCTTTGGGTTGCGTCATGAACCCAAAGCCCAGACGAGCATCTAGGAACACGTGAAAGCGAGAGTTGAGGATGGGGGTGGGGGTGGGGGTGGGGGTTAAGTGAACTCTCGTAGCCATAACCATTGTGCAGGCCCCTGAATATGCTGACATTGCGTTTAGCATGTAGTTGTTGTGTGGCTTACTGTTTTGCGACTGCTGTAGTTTGCCTCAGGCGGGTGAAGATAAGTTTGTTTAGGAAGGCAGCAGCAGCCCCGCCCCTATTCGGAAAGCAGCTTGGCTTGGGTCACAAATCGAGTTGAATGAGCTAAAACAACGCTGAACAATAATAATAATAATAATAACCCTGTGCTTATATGCGGAGTTGCTGTTGTTGCTCCACAAATCCGACGTCGTGTTGATGGGGGATTGTTACACTGTGTGCGGCTCGACGAGCACCGGGGGCCCTGACCGGGTTGTGTTGTTTGCTTCAATGTAATGATAGCACAAACATCCCGCGGGTGCAGTTAAGAAGGGCCTATCACAGAGCCTACTCTTTATGCTTAGTGGACTATCATATAGCACTTGCCGAAGCTAAGAAAAAGGATAATGTCTGAGGAAAGAGCGACTCAGCCGGCCCTGACCTGGAAGCCCTGGGCATTTACCACACCTTGCTGCAGTGGCTGGCCTGCCACCGATGGTGACTAGGCGAGGCTACATTACTACATTACTACATTTCTAATGACCTGCTGTCCGCATGGTGGCCTTGCACGTCAACATATGTGCTCAGCAGTAAACCTACGCGCTCCTGACAATCCCCATGACGATTCCTTTTGCAACGGTTGCCAAACCGTTGTTTAGGGCTGTCAGGGTCCTGTGTACGCGGCATGGGGTTGTTCTCAAGCACCTTGCAGTCGTCCATCCCTCCCGCACACTAGCTAGGTGTGGCACCCAGCCAGCCCTCACATGCCCCTCCACCTCCACCCCACCACGTCATTCGCAGGCTGCCCTGTCGTCCTGATCTCGGCCAGCTCGCCCGGCTCCCGTGCGGCGGCCTCAACGGCAGGTAGCTTGGGACTTGCCAGATCAGCAGGAGGAGCCAACAGAGTC